CATAAATGTTGGTATTAAAATTTTTGATTTCCGTCAACTCGTATCAGCTTAAAAAATTGGGTTTGAAATCAGTTATAATGAAAACTACAGCGTGACTATATATTTTCTTATAAAGGAACTAAGAAAAAAAAAGTACGGACATACTTCGCATGTGGGTGCAGCCACCGTTGTAGGTGGGAAGTCGGGAAGGTAGGACATAGACGGGAATTTAATGTATATCTGTAAGCAACGATACTGATGAAAGAACGATTCTGAATGGAGTTCAGTTGATAGTGTTGCTTTATCAACAATGTATATGTCATATTATGGTAAAATGATTACAAAAATGTGTGTTTCCATGACAACAATGATTGTTTAAAAATTATTAAAATAATACAAATTTAATGATAAAAAAAAAAAAAAACAATAAACACGGTTGCCAATGACAATCATATTTTTAATCTTTCAATATTTTTTAAGCTTAAGAACCAGGTTTTCCTTATTATCTCGAATATTAATGAGAATTTAAAAAAATGAACTCTCTTAAGTACCATAAAGAGAACATTTCCTTTTAGAAAGGAAAACTGCTAAAATTGATAATCGATTATCCTAATATTTAATATATATTTAGATTAATCGGAGTAAGCTTTTTGGTAAAAAAAAAGTGTTTACATAAAAATAATAATAAAAAAAAAAAACATCATTGTAAAACCAACACATTTGCCGCTCCACTTAGAATTTAAAATTTGTTTATTTACTGTGAAAACGGTTCTAAGTATAATATGAATCATATTATTTTTTTCCATCACTGAGGTATTTAAGAAATCAACATAAGTAATATCAATATATCAACATTTGTTGTTAGTTTTTTAAATTTTGTACAAAAACCAAGAATCTTGAAATTTTTTTTAGTGCTATTGTCAAGTACCAGGTGAAAATTCCACATCATAAACGGTACGATACAAATAATTTGGAGCATTCTTAATAACAGAAAAACGGTTTTTGAAAAAAAAAAAACCAAGGGGTGAAATGTCGGTAATTGTCGATAAATGTTTCAAATAAAATACCATCCGATGAAAAATCAACATCTTTTAGGCATAAGTTTAGCGTTATTACTAGTCGAGTAAAAGTATTTTCTGAGAGGAAATACACACATCATGGTAATTCACTGAGATCTAAAATCATAAATTGTCCTCCTTCTCAAGATTTTTGAAGATGTATTGAGTGTTATTAAGTATTAAGCGATTGTTTTGGTTTTTATGTTCGTTTTCTTTTCGAGAATTCAAAAATACATGATTTTTCCCAATTTATCGGTATCACTAACCGAATGGTTCGCTGCCAAAATATGAGGCCAATTTAAAAAAAAAACTATTTCAAGTTAAATTACTGTCTATACCTATTAAATAATATATTTTTATATATAATTATTGTATTATACTTGCAGCGTAATAGATATTTGGTATTTACACGTTAACCAAATATCATGACTCATGAAAAGAAAATATCACGAAAACCTATGATCTTATAAAATTATTTCGTTTCAGATTTGGTGCCTGCGTGAGTCCGCGTTGAGTCCGGTCTTCGTCGTCCACGAGGTAGGTAAGCGGATGATTATTAACTTATAGGTTTGAAATACAATTTTCCGCCCCGTCAAAAAAAAAAAATGAATGTATAACCATATAGTTCCTCTAGTTAATAGGTATGTTATTTTTTGGTTATAATTACATAGAGAAAGAACAAAGTTTAGGTTTTTTTTCATGTAAATGATATTATACTGCGAGTGCATTATTTTAGTGTGGGTTTTATTGTCTATTGTACAATATTAAATGACAATTTCACTTATAGATTTAGTAAAGAATGTATTACAAACAAAAAATATTTATTGCCTATGTAAAACAATATTAAAATATTGTCTTTTATATAAAATTATATGTCCACGTTTCTTATGACATTGAATTTCAGTTTTATCTATGTTTTTTGTTACGCACCACGTCGTCCAATAAACTTGCGTTTCGTTTTACTACGTTATTTTGGTATACAAATAATTAATTAATTTAGAAATTGGATGGAACCAATGACGGATTCAGAGAGAGGGCCCAGATGTCTCGGCCCTCCCCAGACTATATATACTACACAAAAGTTTGTACTTTCATAAATAATTAATTGTATAACACATTTATAATACATGATTTTCAAGAAGGAAAAGCGGACAAGAGCGATTAATGTATTGATTGTACTATGATAAATTTGAATTTATTTATTTTTTTCTGTTAGTAAAAAAATTTTCAATCAGATATCTTACTCCAATCAATAAATAAGTTAACAAAGGTTTATCAGTGATTACAGATATAAATTAAATAAACCTTATGCGTCCTATCTTCTCAAATTCTCACCTACAATAGTGGTTTCACCCATCCCCACTATTACCTTTTTTTTTTTTGCTTACTGTAGTAATTATTTTTAGGAAGCCCCCGTAAAATCCAATTCTGGATCGGCCATTGGTTAAAACACAGAGAAAGCAAGTTCCAGAAAATATGAATTATACAATACTGACAACAAAATTATTTTGTGTAACCAACGTCATCAAACTATTATATTTAGTATTTCAATAAGCCAACAAGTATGTAATATCCCCTCCCCCTCATTTACTTAAAATACAAAAAAAAATGTGAGTGATCTTATGTCGAAATGCATTTATTTCAGCCAAGTTACGAGGAAAACTTGACAAATTGATTAGAAATTTACTTTTTTTGGGATTCGGCTTTTAAATTACCAATTCCCACAGCAAATTTCAAGAAGAATTTATGATTTATTCATGATTTTTATTTTCTACATCCCCTCCCATTGAGAATTTCTGTGCACGCCACTAGATATTAGATAAGTTAGGTATTATCTAAAAATCCGGATACGAAATTGATTATTATTTTCTACTCCTTTACCATAATCTAAATTAACTCTTTTTTTCGAGACCATGCTGAGAATAGAGGGGGGGGGTCGAAATTCAGTGAAATCAATATGAGTACTAATTTAGGGTACGAAAGGAAGTAAGTGTAAAACTTTGAAATATAGTGATGCTTGAAAATTTCCATAATGATTAAAAAAAATAATTCGGTTGAATATAGTTTGAAACACAATTATTTTTACGTTTCTGTGTCATTAATATTTGAACTTAAAACGCATATAATAAAAAAACTATTTAACTACCTACAACTTTTTTTTTTTTATTACTAATTACAAAAAATTACTTATGATGAACCTCGGATTAAATTTTCAAACATTTCCGGTAAGCCAGAACAATTTTACTTATATAAAACCAAATAAAAACTAAAAAAATCACCAGGAGGTTTTGAACATTTTACCACGTGTAGAAAATACTATTATTCTTTGACAAAATCTGGTTTCTACAATTTTCCTTTATCCGAATTATAACAAAAAAATGAATAACTGTCGTCAAATTTTTTCGTTTTTTTTTTTCTGATTTTCATCGGGTTTTCTTATTATTACTATTATAAAATATTTGAAAGATAAATATTAAATAAAAGTAGTAATAAAAATTAATAAAAGTAGAAAACTACAAGGAAAATAAAAAAAATTGCCATTTTAGGCACCAACAAGATATAATTTGCCCTCAGAAAATGTAGTTGAAATTCGGAGCGATATTTCTGGTATAACAATGTTTACAAAAAAAAAAAAACAAATAACAATGATGACACATATCATTGCAAAACCAATACATTTCTCGCTGTCCTTATTATCTAAAAAAATTACCATATTTTGCATAAAGTTCTGCGTTCTAAATATAGATTATAGCCTTACCTGTACGTTGATAACCTATAAGTTTTTATATCGTCGTTTGGTAAACTTTAGTGAATCATTTTTTAATTTTTTTTTTTGAAAAAACTGCTGGGAATTTGACAAAATGTTTCAATCTAAATATCACCGGGGAGAAAATTAATATTTTACGAAAAAGCGTTTGTTGAGAAATGAAAAACCGTCTCCGTGAAGTTATAATATTTATAGCTTCTCGCTCTACTCAGAATCTGAAAACACTGACGTGATAACGCGATATCCGTGTTTAAGTACTTACATATTTACTTAGGTTCGAGTTCTGTTTTGCCGTCGAGTCATCGAGAAAATTCGAGAATATTTTAACTCCACGTGACAGTGTACGGCTATACTTGTTACTTAATTCAATAGACCTCACAAAGCTTTCGCAAAAAAAAAAAAACCGACGGGTACTGACGGATGAGTACGGTCTATTAACCAATATATGATCCTCGTTTTTCGGGTGATGCATTCATAATATATAATATTTATCAGTCACATCCCGAGGCGATGACCTTATTTTCGAAAAACGGGTACAGAGATAATTTGAATAACGTGGCCATTATAATATTAGTGTTGGTACTGTCGGGATACTCGGATATTTTAAAATCTATATAAAAACGGATTCGGATATCCGTAAGAACTATTCGGATATTACTATGCGTATAAAATACATAAGACGTATCTATTATTTGTATATATTTTTATGAATCCAATATTCATAGAGTTTGATCAAAAATATTTTGGTTATAAGTGGTTACGCACATAATAAAACAATGTTATTAAATCATCAAAAATCGCGTTGAGAACTAGCAAAATGTATAATACAATATGTACTCTCGTATAATTGAGACGAAGATTCTTGCGAAATTGATCTCACGAATCTCACAAAAATATATTTGGAAAACCTTGAAAGTACAGAAATCCGATGGCTATAAATATCCGAATATTACGTGTATTATATTAGGATTTTACTATTTCAATTATCCGGATATTAGATTTCGGTTGTGTAAATATTTAAAAAATCCGAATGCATGACCCGACATTACATCATTATCATACAATCGTGAGTCTCGATAACATTGACCAAAATCGGAGTACACGTTTACAGACAACTTTAAATTATCGGGTGACCGAATGACAATAAATTGACAAAGAGGTTATAAATATCGAGAAAACAATGAATTGATTGCAAGTGACTCATTCGAATTGTCGCGTATTGACGGTTGGTTCGCCTTGGATTTTATTTCAAAAAATATCGAGATTATCGAGTTATTATCGCGAAAGTCGACTGCCTATATTATTGACAACAATCGTCTTACGTATTTTCTCTTATTCTTCTAGCTGGCTTCTTTTCGTTCCTTCCGATCCTGGATGGTATCTTTCTCCAATCGTGCACTGTACGTTTTTCAAAAATATGCTTTTAAATCACTCACAGCCATATTTTCGTGGACCTTACTCTTGAGTTCTCTGTGCTCCTGGTTTCTAGTTCATAAACGCTCTAATAGCATTTTCATCATTTCTGTATATTACTACACGTCCGAGTTATTGCAGCAAAACCTCCGTCACTTAATTGAACTTGTGACTGGGACTATTTCCCGACACTCGATACACACTGTGTTATAAACGATCGGAACTTCAAAAATGTATACAGACGACGGAGATATTGCGAAATCGCGGTACACCTACATCAGCATTATAATAATATCGCGATGACGTAAGAAAAAAAAAAAAAAATCAGTCCAAATATGCGCTAAGTATAATAATAAAATACTGTACTCGTTATCACGAGCCACTGACTGTGCACTGTAAAATAACACACCGACGGGGAGCACACATTATTTTTGTTGTATGTACTTACACGCAATTCCAGTTGAACTACATGCACGGCACAATATTTCAGCACAGTACGTATTTACACCGTATTATGCAAAACTTTTAAGAGTTAACATATCTGTTGCACAAACTGTCCCGAACGGAACGAATAAGTTTCGGTTGACATCGCAAACGGCAAAAATCGTCGAGGAAACTGAAACAGCTTTTATAACATTGTAATTGCACTGTGTTGTTACCCGCGACTTTTTCCGCGTGATGGACTTTTATAATGCCTTATCTTCTGTATACAGTCTACGGGGTGTAAGAAAGATAAATAGATAATAAAATATAAATACAATTTAAATATACTCCCAACAGTCTGAAATAGTGAAAGGTATTTCAAACTATTTTTATCGGCTAACTCATAAGCACGAAATTATTTTCATTTGAGATTGCATTTATTCTACACCTAAAGTTACCTATCTATACGGCATTTAGTTTTATATTTATCTACGAAAACAAACATTGTCCGTTGTTACTTATGCAACGCCATCACGTCGTTCAGATTAATCATAACATTGGTACAGCGTTATTTTTCCCCCACAAACTTCGAGCAGCTAACTAAACTAGCAAATTAATGGCTTTAATAAGTTAGAACCCGTATAGGACGCAGGCGTTACAAATTGTAAAAAATCAGGGGTGAGTTTTATCGAGTCCAACATTATTTACGCGTATGCGTCGTATTGAACTATTTCGGTCGGATTAAAATAATAACCGGTTAGTTAATTGGTGGAACTTATAGTTGTATTCAGTCAAGGGCGGTTTTGGGTGGTAAAATTGTAATAAAGGTTGGCAATCCCGATTGAATTCTGTCTAAAAATGCAAGACCACTCGTTTAAAATAGAAGTTAAAACCCTTTGGACATTTTAAAAAATAGAGATGAAGCGGGTTTTATCGAATGCAAAGCTATTTATGCATATTATGTTTCGTAAAAGTATTCAAAAAATCACGTTATTCGTTGGTCTTTAGTGACGTTCTTTAGTTTCAGTATCACTTCGTTTTTTTTCCTGAGAACTAAGAATTTTACCACTGAACCGAGATGTTTCCGGGATGAAAAGTCGCCTATGTCATTATTTCCAGTCTTTCCACTATCTTTACGAAAAAAAATCACGTCGATTGGTCGTTGTGACGCAAAAGGACACATTATCCCATTTAAAATTTTAATACCTCTATAGAAGTATAGATGTATACGCACGTCAGATTTTGGAGAGAAACGCCATTTTGTTTCGTAGAGAAATAACTAAAGAGATTCGTGTTTATTTTTCCGCACGATTTTCTCTTTTATTTTTTTAAACGAAACAGAAAAACGGATTTGTCCGATTTATTCGTCAGTAAGTATACGAGTCGATTGTTTATAAGTTCGGAAGAAGTGAAATTCGTACACGAGACGAGTTCTGGATTCTATTCTAAACGTAGGTAAAAATTTCAAAAAAAAAAAAAAGGTTTAGAAAATGGTGTTTCATTTTTTCGAGCACTTAAAATGCAAATTATTAAGAAGTGGATTTTTTTTTTTCACGAAGGTTTTTCTCGACTTGTTTTTTTTAATAGGCTCGACCTCAACCCTCTTATAATACGATCCCGGAATAAATATATAATTATTATTATTTGATAATATTTTACTTAATAGTTCTCGCGGTAATAACGCGTACACGTCGAGGAGTTTTTTGTTTTTTTGTTTTGTTTTTTTTTTTTCACTCGATTCAGAGTTTTTACGTGAATTTTACAAGCGTTTTTATTTGCTTTTACAAATAAATAGCATTTATATAGTACACGCCAATAACGTACGGGAAAGGAGCGATTGAGTGTGTATAGACACTTATGTGTTATTGTAATGACGTCGGTTCTCGAATTATTATAATAATATTTTCGACCTCGTTAAAATACAGGTTTTTTTTCTGTTTTATCCGTCAACTTTGCATACCTCGTAATGATAATTACTATTTGTGTCCGACGATAACATTAATTATTATTGTTCTAATTTATTCCAACCGAAACGGCGTTGCTATGATATACGGTCTTCCGAAAATCATATTGCGGTCAAATTTTCCACGGAACACTTATTTTATCGATAAAAAAACGACTCGTGCTAGTCACGTTCTAGAATCCGTGTCATATTCTAAAATGTCACGGTTTTTCGCCCTTTTTTTCGGGGTTGAAACCGCCACTTTTGATTTTTAAATAGCTAACTATATTAAAAACTCCCGTAAATAGACGAAGTATTAGTTTAGATACTTTCCGAGTGTTGACATTTTTAATTTCCGTAACCTGTTTACGGGATATTTCACTTTAAAGTTTGTACAGTGAGAGAGTATTGGAACATCAATTGTGTGACGGAACGACGGGCGCGAATACTCTCTCTTTTCACCCAAACTTAGAGGTGGAATAATATGTTGACGGAAACAAAACAGTCAACGTCAAAATGCGATTTAACTAAAACTTTATAAAACTATTTATGGAATTTTCAATGTACCTCGCTGTTTGGATTTTTTTAAATTTTAAATATTAAATTTCCAGATGACCAAAAAAATATTCCTCTATATTCAGTTCACCGTCAAATGGTACGTAGGTGTATGTAAACTTTTTCATCGAGTAGAATATATGTTTGTTAAAAAAAAAAAACTCTATATACGCCCGAAAATCGGTCGACACTCTTCGGCAATTATATATTATATACAAACAATAACATGAATCGAGTATACAACGAGTATATTGAATTATTATTTTTCTTGAAAAAATAAAAAAATAAAACCAACAACAAATACTTTCACGATAGATAAAACCGTTTTTAAGGGTTTTGTATATAGTGAGTTGCACTGCGCAGTTATATTTGTGCAGCGCGTTATCTAATGTGTTTTTTTTTTCTTCTAAAAACTACAACAGAGAAATTCATCAGGGAACGGCCTATATAAATGGACCGCGTAGTCCGCGTTCGATCGATTGATATAATATTATTGGGCTCCAATGAAACTTCGAGAGCGGTCTTCTCAAATGCGCAAATAATAATGATAACAAACAAAAAAAAAAAAAAAATCACATACGACAACAAATGGCTTTATATCTGACTCCGTTCGGAATTATTTAAAACTTGTTTCTTTTTTACATTTTTTTCTCAGTACATATACCTACTTTATAAAATTATACCTACGTGCAATGCAAACATCGTTCTACTTTGAAAAAGTTAACCCCCCGGGAACCGCACCGCGCACGTATTCGGTTCACTTTATTCAGTAAAACGCTTATATTTGCATAATATGATGTTATATTCACCGAGAGATAATATAAGTAGTTTAATACTATGCGGTTCAAAATGCATTCAAATTATACATACAAATTTAGGTAGAGAAACGAAAATTACCCATTACATAAACGTAATTTTTTTTTTTTTGGACTCTAAGTATAACGAATAATAATCTATTGACTACATAGAGATGATTTTTTTTTCTCGGAAAACACGTTTAGTAAAAAAACCCCTGGTACGCCGCTGATTTTTACAGCATTTCAGTAAAAATGTCCCGATTTTTCGATGGTATAAAAATTCGTGCAGATTAAAAGTTGTGAGTTTTTGATTTGGTGGTACTTTAGTTGATAATTTGTCAAAATTTCTAAAACTATTTTTAAAAAAAATTTTTTTTTTAGACAATTTTTTTTGGTAACGCAAATGTTACAATATTTTTACAGAGTGCCTCAAAAGATGCGGAATTTCTAGTGGTACTTTATTTTAAACACTTGAAGATATTAGAATCGTGTTTTTGTTTTTAATGATTTCTCATTGCATACAGTATGTCAACCTAGTATACCTAACCTTCCCAACTATTCACTTACCAACAGTGGCCTATTCGACTATTATCAACTTTTTTCTCCTCATTACTGCCACTTTCGTTTAATTTATAATCAAATTCCAAAGTAGGTGTTTGAATATTGATCGCCCTGTATAAATATACATTAAATCATAAATTGAACTTTGCCACGTTGCGTGTGGATAATAAACAAATGCGTAAGCATATAATGAATTGTTTATATAGTGTTCTGATATTTTATTCTATATTTACACGGACGTCCATCTATACCTCATCGTGTTTCTTAATCTTTCAAATACGATAAATTAGGCATAAAATCTATTGAAAGTTTACCAAGTATAAACAAAACGCAAACAATTATTAACAATAACATTATTTTATTAATATACTGTTATTATAAACGATTGGCGAATGGCTTAAAACAATAATGCTTCTATCGTTAAACAAACCTGGCCAAGTAACTAAAAAATATCCGACTTATTACAGTCCAAGTAATTTTCATAAAAAAAATCATTTAAAATTATTATATACGGTAGTTGATTTTTAAATTTACAAAATGTCTAACTTAATCTTAATTTGAGTTAAAATTTGATAAAATTTATTCGGTAAAAACAATAACCTAAGTTATTAAAAAAAGTCAGATTTCTATTTTGTTTAATGTCATCAACCTAAAAACTTATTCGTTCAATAAATAAATTTAATTATTAAATGAAAGTTTATCAAACTGCAGCAGCAGTAGCATCATTCTCTATTAGATAATACACAAAGGCGGAAATTGAAGGGCTTGAGAGGGTTAAGCTTCCCTCAACACTTTATTATTAGTACCTAATAATAAAGAGTTAGGTACGTTTGGTTTAGAAATCGTATTGGATTAGAGTATTTCAGGTAAAACGCTTCTAAGTTAGAAAGTTATCAGGAATTTTAACAACTGATTAAATTTTAAGTTTTAAACAAAAAATAACTTTTAAACTTCATTGTAACTTTCCAATTAGTTAGTGTACAGCTGCGCCGGTAGAAACTATTATTATTATGCAAAACTTTTGTAATATTTTTAATTGCCTATTCGTATAATGTTATTGAAAATCTGCGGATAAGAGTTTCGGGCGATTTAATGGTTTCGGGATATATTTCAACAGTTATATTTTGTTTTCTTATCCTCGTCCGCGAATTCACGATTACGAATTGAATATTCGCTCCGTTTAAAAACTATGTCGTCCCACAGACGGATTTCCGGTAATGTTTTTCATCTAGTTGGTTGACGCTTGGATTTCGGGGGGGTTTTTTTTTTCTCTGGTCGATTCCCATACAGTAATCCGGAGTAACAACCCGCGGTCTAATATAAATTATATAATTATATAATATAAATTTAATGATAATGAACAATTAATTAACAGTTACAGCCAAAGAATACAACGGAACTTTAAGAACCACAAGGTATACGGCACTGAATATGGCTTAAATACAACACGACAAATAAGGCGGTATAGCCCCCTTAGCCTCCCTTCCTGGCTGTGCTCTTAGTTTGAATTCATTTAGATTAAATGTATTATTGGCGATTTACACTAAATATTTACACTATACTAGGTGGTTGGCTGGTTATAATATTATGTATTTTATCGTTTTAGTATCGTAAGTTATTACGACAAAATGATTAAAAAAATATTATATAAAAAAAAAAAAAAAAAAATGTGTTATTAATTTCAAGGAAATCCGCGAACGACAACGTAGAGGTAATGTTTAAAGAGGACGCGTCGTTATAATTAGGTAACCGCGTGGAACTTTCGTAATTTAAAATACCGACGATTCGTCGTGGCTTTGAAATTATAATGAGTTAACGCGCTATACAATTTTAATATCGCGCCCCGTGTGCGCAAACAGACCGCGTGCAATTTTTATAGCGATTGCATATTTTAATAATATAATATACCGTTACCTGCATCGCGAACACGCCAAACTATCTCTCGCGAAACAGTGCACGATATGATATATAGGTATAATACGTAAACACAATTATTCGCGAATTAGAATTTCAAATTTGTTTCGGAACGCCTCAGACTTATTATCCTATTATTGTACGCACTATGATACACACATATCGAGAGTTCGGGCTCGATTTACAGACCCGATCGGCTGGGTTATAATTCGCTTTGAAAGTCGGATCGGTCGGAGGATATATGTATATGTGTTCCGCCGGTTCGCTTTTTGTTCTCCAAAGGGAATTACATACGTACAAGACGACAAACGTACAGTTTATACACGTGTGTCTATACCGTATAAACTCGTATAGAACATCGTTTAATTTTGTCGATTCCGAGTAGTGCGGGAAGGCTATATAAAAATCGGAACAGGGCTAAATTCAGGATTGTGGGAGACTCCAGGGTCCATGTCAGATTGAAGTAAAAACAGAGGTGAGTTTACTTAAAACAAAACGAATAATAACTAAAATGTTCAGATGCCTATTTAAATTTGCGAAGAATCCTATTATTACTGAACAGTGAATGTACCTTTTCCGTGGGACACCCGTCAAAAATGAATTTGTGTGTGGGTGTCTGGGGCAGAGTCAGTGGTCCTTCCCCTCGGTGTGTGACTTGATCATTATTACTTACGATTTTTTACTATTTATTTATTATTATCGTTAAAACCGTCATAAACTACGTTCAAATCACACGAGGCAATAATATATGGCTAATTTTGATTTTCCCAATCATGCCTTAACTCACTAATGTTACTTACTTGGCTGCTCTCTGCCTGCAACAGTGGCCAACCGACAATTTTAGTGCTTAACGGTTTTGGTTACAATGAGTTTTCCGGCGACAGTAAAATTGAATTCTCGAGCTGCCCATTTTACATTTTGTACTGAACGCTTTGGGTTCCGAAACAAATCGATTTAAGCCCTGCTGTATACGAATGTAAACTCGTATTTTATATGTTCTAAATGATTATGACCCCCCCTCCCCCTTGAAATATGGTACCCGGGACCCATACTTTTCTAGAAACCCCTCGCCCCTCTAAATACGTCCCGTTAAATGTTATTTGAATTGCGTTTGTTTTCATTAATATCAAGGTAAATCATCGAGTTTTTAATAATATCTATTACCTATACATCGGATAATTTTATTGAAAATTCTAACAGTTGTAATTTTTGTTCGTTTCGAAAACATTACGGATCGAGACAATTTCGCGTTCAAACTTTTAAACGTATTAACGCAATTAACTACGTAATATAATAATACTTATTTTTAAATTCATAAACAACGTAAAATAATGTTTAACTTCGGAAATACGGTTCTAATTAAATATGTAATACAATAATATTGTTATAATTTGCATTGCGGATTTTTATTTTTTAATAGATGTCCGACAGTCGCTACTACGCATACGAGTATAGGTACTTGGATTTTTAATATGATAAAGTTTCGTGCTGTTTATTTAATTCGGTCGTTTCGTTTCGTGTATTATAATATATTTTCAGTGTTTTTGTGTTAGCGAACGATAAAATATTATAATCCGTAATAGCAGTAGTAATAATGACTATATTGCGCAACGATTTTAATTAAACTAAATGATTTCATTTCAGACGACAAACGGAGCGTGAGGGTTATTCGTTTTTATTATGATATTATTATTACGAATTTGTTTACGAATAATGTTTTTGCATTTCTAGCGGAGCCACACACATAGTAATAAATAATAAATACGAAACTTTTTTCAGGGATATAATAATTTATACATAGACAATTGAACACAGATGTCACGCGTTATAAAGGTCATTTTCCGAATTTTTAACTTGAAAACTTAACAGAGCGAAAAACCGAATAAGATATATCGCGCGAGTGGGCGTTTAAATTTATATTTTCCGAGCGGAGCTCTCGAGATTATTTTAAACACTCGCGCCGCGCGTTCGTCTCGTAATCATAAACGGGTATAACACCTGTTCCAACCCTGTTTCCGCGTAATTATGCGTGTTTCTTTTAGATCTGCTACATCGAATATATCAAGTATGTTTTTGGAAAACGTGTACAGTTTTCTTCTACTCCTGTGCAGGTGGTTTCTAGGTCTCGAAGGACCGTCCTTCGATCTCACGCCCTCTTCTGCTCGCGAACAAAACACGCCGTTTGGTATTTCTGACTCTGTTAACGATTCGCATTGGCCGATTTTAAATGCTCAATCCGTAATATTGGTATAGTAAATAGTTTAGCTAGGTTTTTAGCGTATCCATAACACAAACGGTTTTTGAACATTTGTTTGTCAGCCGACCGCGCGGATTGCACGGGGGTGGAAATTTCAAACGTTTTTCGCAACGCGTACACAGCCGAACTCCGTTCAAAAGACGCACGTAAAACGTCGCGTTTTACATTGCACTGTCTGTGCGCGAAAAACGCGAGTGCGCCAACCGGCCGTGAAAAAGTCAAACGAGCGGACAAACGAGTCGTATGCACCCGTCGCGTCTACGCCGCTCGTTTAAACGAGATCAATTGATTTAGTCCGGAAACCCCTCCCTCCACGCCCCCTCGTCGTTACCTAATTAAATTGATAATTCCATTGTTTGGCGCGGCAATCGCGCGCAACGCACGCGTATTCTGCGCAGTGCGCGCGGCGGTCGAACCCGTCCGCGGGAAACAATAGACACCCGGTTCGGCACAATCTCATTGTTCTCGGCGCGCGCCTTGTAATTATTGACGTTCGGACGGAGTTCTCCGCGGCGAGAATTCGTTGTTACCGTCTATCCGCAAACCGCGTTTTTTAAAACGCATTGCGAGCGTTATTGTAACGCTGTAATGGCTGTTGCGACATTTGAATATTTTGTCTTCGGCCGTAATAAATAACGCAACGCGTGCCCGTGTAACATATTGGCTCGCGGATCCTTGAACGCCAACAGGTAAACGATAATCTAGGTACTTATTATAATCGTGATTTCGGACGTCCATTCGAAAGACTGCCGTACAAATCAAAATACCGCCGAGTCACCGGCACCCACACGCGCTGCGACGGCGGCGTGCGGAGACCTTCTGACCCGCGCGCCGGTGTGCCTACTCGTTCGATACTTCTACGACGGAAACGGTGATTTCCAATCGGCGATCGATGTGATTTTACAAGGATCGCGATGACGGCAACAATAACAACGGTAGATCCCACCGCGTACAAAGGGCCGACGGAAAACAGTACTTATATTTAGCAAAACACGCGATAACCATCGGTAAATCGGTAAATGCAATACCATTTTCCCGTATCAACAGTCATAGGGGTAATACGCGTACAACAGTCTGTTAAATTACAGCCATTCGTGTTTTCGAGAAATGTCCGCATTTTATTAACCTACCCTGCCGCCATAGCCTATACCGGCCTTTACCGTGACGATGCTGTTCGAATGTTAAGTTTTCTTTTACGATTGGCGGTCGCTTGGATTTTGATGTTTCGCGCATCACCATACTTGGCGCGATATTCTACCGACCGTACCAAAATGGCCTTTTATCGAATATAAAGATACCCTTTAGAGGAGAGTTCCTTTTTTGTATCTGCAAAGCTTCGTCACTCCATTTCAGTCCCGAATGGAATTTCAATCACATTCTATAATATCTCATCAACGAAACCGCGACAACGACAATATCAGAAATCGTAAATCAAAAAATGCTCCTTACGGCAGTGCGTTAAAATACGATTTTGTGCAATTTTCCCCACCACCTTAGCTCGGCAAACGACGATAATATTGTTATTGTTTTAGTATTGTTGATAATATTGACGTCATTTAGCAGCACGAGGTATTGCACGAGGCGCGTTTTTTTTTTTTAAAGTGGTGTCCCCGGTAGGCCTAATCCACTGTTAACGTACAGTAGAGCTTATTATATTTTCGCTCTTCTGCACTAGAAAATAATATTTGTTTATACCGGTAACTGAAATTACTCTATTCAGCATAAGATCGGATCGCTCGGACGACGAAAACGCGTCAACTTCCTGTATGCACGTCGGCAGTGAGCGAAAACAAACACCAAAGTGCGTGTTAAGCCCTTTGGAGAATTCGTTCACCAACGGTTGCACGCATGAAAGCGGTCCAATCTTATCCCGAATAGTATTAAAGAGTATTAAGAGTGTATAACATATTATAAATAAACTTACCCCTGACTCACGGAGATTTCGATTGCAGGGCCTTGCAATATAATTCAACCATGTAAAAACGTTGAAAAGCAAAAAAAAAAAAAAATAATAAATAAACAATCGTAGAAAACTGAAAATTAAACGAGTCAAAAACACGTATGAAACTAACATAATAAAAAATATTACAATTGCGTCAATATTACATTTCCCTTAGAAACGACGAAAAATGCCAATTCGATAATGGCCATATATTTCTGTTTATTGTTTTTTTCTGTAACTCGGGCATCGTAACTATCATTGTCGAGTAGGTTTACATAAATATAATGCGGAATAACGCATAATTTGTAAAAATTATAAAATAAACCGACACACTTCGCACTCTACTAGTGTGGAGTGGGAAGTTGGAAAGATGTAGAATATAGGGTAATTAAGTTTATGTGCATATACTGAAAGCGACGCTTAACAATTGCAATCGAAAGAACGATTCTGAGCCGAGCTCGGTTAACTGGTAATGTTTGATAACACGATTATTGTAAATTGTTGTCAGATTTCACATTTTTTAGTGAAATGGACGGGAGTCTTAGACAAACGGTTTAGCCGAGGTATTACCGTGAGGGGACGCCATATTTTAAGATAAGGTATAAAAAATTCGGAGCATTTCTACTATGCGAAAAAAAGTTTTTCTGAAAAAAGCACAGTTTAAATATTTATCACAATGTTTTTGTTATTGTAATTCGGTTAAATATTGTACCCAGACTTTTCAAAGAATACTAATATTAGCCTTTTTTAGACGTAGTGACATTTTTATACCGTTCTGGAGATTTTTTAGCTATTTATAGACTTATGATATTTTTGAGCTTTTTTCTTCATTTAGTTTTATGTGAATAATATTGTTTTGGTCGAGCACAAATTCTAGACAATTTTACATGATTTTCTATATAAGATGTACTTGTTAGTGAGGGTAAAAAAATTGAGTCTAAAGTAATCATTTTTTATAAACTTTATTTTAAGTTTAATTTTTAACGAAAATCGTAAAAATTACATATTCGTATTTAACCGAACTTTGCTCGGAATCGTAATTTTGTTTTTTTTAAATTTCTCCTGGAAATTTTCAACGGTCAGTATTAATTTCTATTTTAGAATTGCCTAAACAAATGTGATGTTTGCATATTATGTCCAATAGTGAACAATAAATAACTTGATCTATCATCCATGTCATCAACGCAACTTTATGTTGAGCTTATTTACTCTTCTAAAGCAATGTCGTAAGACTAATAGTTTTTTCGTTCTGTTTAGAATTGAAAATTCCTATTGTCGTAAAATTACTATACAGCTACTATTTTTTCTGTTCACACTAAAAACCAATATTATAAATACGATGTTATTATAGTTGAAATAAGTACCGATTTCATTATTTTATGGATCTAATTTTTTACTATTATTAAAGATAAAGATTTGGGCATGTCGACTATATCGTAAGATGTATGGTTTTAATTTCAATTACAGTGTGTTGAACTTTAAAAAAAAAAAAAAATCGGTTGTAAATTTATACGTGTTCAAATGAATCCATTGAATTATTTATTTTATATTTATCAAAACTTTTTGTTCTCTTTTTTTTTTGAGTAGGTTTATTAAATAATTTTGTATTAATTTTAGCGAATTTTTCTTTTCGTTGTTCTCCTACTGCTGACACACATGTCCCCTTAAAACGTTCGCCATAATAACTACGCATCGACGCTCTACTTCGAAGAAGGTCGACTCGTGTCCAGTTTTCAAGATGCAGTTTTCAGATTGCAGGTTTTATTTCTCGGGGTTTCCATTACATTGCCGTCCTGACCGACTCGTCTCCTCGTTACGCGATCTGACCATTGTCCTTTCTTTTGTCCTTTTAACTGAGCTTGTCACCGACAATACAGTCCCACCGTGACACGTACACAGATTTATCTGCCGTACCTCCTTCACCCGGTTCCCCGTTGTTTCGGGTTCCACTGCATTGTGTTAAAAACGTATTGTGTAAACAAGACGCACTGTTATTATACCGCTGTATAATATACAGGGTAACCCGGGCCATAGTGTTTGATTCGAAATTGCGTACATTATAACAGCGTATCGTGATGAAATGTTCGAATCGTTAAAAGAAAGGAAAAAAGAAAAAAGAAAGAAACACGGTAGCGGCGCTACCGCCGCGTTCTCAGACCGCTAATAATAATTGACCGCGTAAGTATTGCGCGGACGGTTGCGGAGTCGAAATTCGGAAAGAAGTGACCCCGGTTCGATTGACGCGATCGGAAAACGATTCTGGCCGTTCGCGCACACAACGACACGGCGATACGAGTAATAACGCGAGCGCTGTAAATCACGAGACCATTAGTGCGATCCGTTTAATAATTATCGTTGTGCGGGCGCCTGCCTGCCAATACGAGACGCTTAAAATATAAACGACCCCGCGCGTACATTAATATCGTTAACCCGTGCGTTTACCGTCGGTCAATCGAACAACAAAAAAAAAAAAAATCACACGCACACGCACGCGTCGGCGTTATAATAAACGGTGACTTTATTAAACGAACGAACGAGTAAAAAAAAATCATAATCATTTTTTTTTTCTCTAAACATTACACAACGCCGACGTTCGTTAAAAATACACATAAACCGGTATTAGCGGGCACGACATTGACCCAATAAACCGCTACCTATTAATACAGTTATTATTATAATATTATTATACCGGGCGGGCACACGATACTACTCGTTCTCTCGTTTCGTTTTTTTTAATTCGCTTTCGTCGTAGGCTGCTCGCGTTATCCGACGGCAACAATGATAACTATTTCGCTCTAGCGTTACGATCATGTTTTCGCGCGTCTCTATCACACCCACGTTGTCGTACGCCGGGTCATACCCGTAAAAAATTCGGCCCGCATAAAAAAAAAAAAAAAAGTTACGGACATGAGCGGGCCGCTGCCGCTTGAACGAGAAGTCGGGAAGATAGGACAGTATAGAGAGGAATTCAATGTGTATCCGTACGCGACGGTTTGTCTTTGCTAACGAAAAACGATTCTGAACGGAGTTTGGTTATGCATGGCGTTCGAAAGGCCGTAATATTTAAGAATTTTAAATAATACGTATCGTACATATTCCCGTTTTTTTTTTACGTTTCTTCACGGTTTTTCCCATTTATCGGGGAAAATCAAAAAATTGGCTTGCACTGTCCCGGTCAGAGTTCTTTTCAGAAAAACTGCTACACTTGAAAATTGAAGCAAAATTGCAGGTAGAAAAGTTGTCCACAGAAAAAAAAAAAAAAAATTTAATTCATCATTGTAAAACCAATATATTCCTCGCTCCTTTCAGAATCTAAAACGATCATAAAAAATACAATGCTTCTATACAGATCGGACTCATCGAACGACGAAAGTTTACCGTTTCCGATAGTGGGCGCGTCGCCCTGCACGCATCATTACACATTAAAAATAGCGCGTGCGATCACGACAACTCGTGTAAAATAATATTAAAAAAAAAATAATAATAATAATAACAATAAAAACGTTACGTATGAATTAAAAAGTAAAACCGAATTCTTTACGCGGGACGTCGAACGGTCCGGGGCCGCAGTGCCGGCGTGTACCCGTTCGCCGAAGAGGGCGACGGACGCGCGGGACGTTAGGTGTGTTCGACGTCTTGCTCAACAATGTGACAATTACGCGAACACGATTTAATCGTGAGGTTTTTACCGTGTTAAAGGGTGTCAGGGTGTGTTGCCATGGCATCGTTTTTGTACCGCGGAAGGGGGTGGCCGGTCGAGTCAGTACGATCAATTTGGCCCGTTAAAATTAAATTCTCGATTTTCGTAATAATAATTATATATTACACATATTACTATTTTATACGTTGGCTGTCTGTAAAAAATTGTCCAATCGGTCTACTCAGATAAAAACTCGGGCTCGCTCAAATCCCAACTATGTACGTAGGTACACCGGGTTTGAAAAAAAAACCGCGTTGTCAAAATTTATTCGTATAAAATTTGAAACCTGAGAAAATTTAATACGTAACTATTGATTAAGAGGACGTGATAACCGCATGTTATATCTCCGTCTTACAAACGTACGAAATAGCAAATTTGCGTTTAGCAGGGGCAGGGACCACTTTGCGCTGTTAGTTTTAATATTAGATCGAATTGACTTATTATCAAACTTACAGATAAATTTATTATCTGTCGTGTGGGTTTTCGTTTTTTTTTCTTGTAGTTTTAATTTTCGAGCGTCATACGAATGTGTGAAATATAAACATTTAAAAATGTTTATATCTCGTTAAAAATTAAAATAAAGAAAAATGTTCTTATCATTAAGTTCGATACTAGGTCAGTCCGCTCTAATATCAAAACTATCGGCACAAAGATGTCCCTGCCGAATGCAGGTTTGCTGTATCGTACGTTTGTGAGACGGAGACGGTACTCGGATGGAACGTCCTCTCAAAGATAAGTACATTTATGTTCAAAATTAGGGCTTTTTTTTTAAAAAAATTTATAATTTTCGAGCGGCAAACAAGTGTTATTAAAATGTGATATTTCATATACTTGACGTACTCATATCTTTCGGAAAAACAAGAATATCGAAAAATCGACGCCAACGTTGTGCAGATGATGTTCTTATATTTAAGTTGATAATATACTAATTCACTATAAAATTAAAATTAACAGCATAGAATTATCCCCGCTGAACGCATTATTGCAATGTTGTAGTTTGCGAGACGGAGACAACGCGAACGGAGGTTTCACGTCCTCTTGAATCGTCAAACACGTACTGGCTGTTGTTCGAAAATTCATGAATTACCGAGTACACGAAATTGATTTAATTAGTATATTTATCTATTGCGGTTTTCACGAAAGCGATTATTTTCCGACGTGTGTGTGTGTGTAAGCTAAGTAAACGCACGTGCTTCAAAATATCAATAACCGCGTTTTTGCAACACGGTATTTTTACCTATAAATTAAAACTTATCGTCCGCTATTTATTCTAAACAGATCCACATGTATCGTTTACAAACCATGATAATAGCACGTCATGTTACTCATATAATGACAAACATAATATTATGCTACATATTAAGAAATATTGTTTTCGGCCTGACGCGCATGTATACGAATATTGTCTTAAATGAATACTGAATCGTCAGACGTTTTCAAACGTTTAAACATAATTAGGTAGACAACTAATAACAAACATGAAAGTTTTAAAAATATTCATATTTTTTATTCTTTGCCTTCGTCCTAATACCTCACAAATCTTATTCTCGCTTTCTGTATTTCCCTATCTAGTGCCGCCATGTTTGGCGGTTGAAAACTGACGGTTAAGACCATACTAAAACCGCAAATGCGAAACAAAATTAAAAACGTATTTTTGGTGCAAACGTGCGTTATATAGTTGTAGTTGTAGTTGTATACGAAATATACGTCCATTTGACACCAGCGTCTACTTCGATGACCATCTATCTTAAAATTTAGAAGAATTTTATTCATTTGGACCATCTAAAGTACGTACCACTGTCCTTATTAGTCACCGTATCTTCGTCTACTCTACATGATCGCATTACTTCCAATCGTCATCCTCTATAATTCCTACATTGGCTTGTGCCGCCGAACCCAAATACTTGAACGCGTCTACACTTTCAAAAATATTATTTTATATTTTATACGTTAATATAGCGACCAATAGTGTATACACGACAAGTTAATTTGGACTCGAAAATCTGTGCAACGGGCATGGTGCAGGAACCTGGCTCCAGACTCCGTTATTTTACCGTATATGTTTAGTTTTGAATTGGAAAAGAACGCCGAAAAAGACGATAACCAGGGCACAGGGACAATAAATAATAACAATACGTTAATTTTCAATGGATATAAATAATAAATATATTTAACTATATTTTATTTACATAAATAAATATACACGAGCGTTTATACAGGATGTTCATGCTCGGGATGTTGTCGGCCGGTCAACCGGCGGTGGATCCGGTGACGCCGTGGGGGGATAAGTTGTTTGAGAAAATTAGTATGGCTTGTATGGGGCTGGTTTGTAGGCGGGTGCTGGGTAAGCGGGTGCTGGGTAAGCCGGTGCTGGGTAGGCTGGTTTGTAGGCCGGGGCGGCTTTGTAGGCTGGGGCCGGGGCGCTGTACGGGGCCTTGTATCCACCGTCGATTTTCTTGACTTCGGCGTTGAAACCGTTGTAGTCGTCAGCGGTGTATTCGACGACGCGGGTGGAACCGTCGGGTTCGACCAGGCTGTATGTACCCTTGACGTAACCGTTGCCGTCGGCGTATTCCGATTGGCTCTTGACGTCGTAGGTGGACGGGTCGTTTACGCTGTATTCGAAGCTGTACGGGGCCGGGGCGTATGCGGGTTCCGGAGCGTAGGCTTTCGGTGCTGGGTAGGCGGGTTTGTAGGCCGGGGCCGGGTATTGGGCGAGGGCTGAGACCGCGAGGGCGGCGAATACGATCATCTGTAAATAAAAAAAAAAAAAATAAATAAATAAAAAACAGGGTAAAATAGACCGGCGAACGGCAGTGACGACCGAACAGAAAAAAAAAAAGAAAAGGAAAGGAAAGCCCGGCGACCGTGACGGGCCGGCCAGGTCGTCAGGTCCGTTCGGATACGGTAAAGATATTGATACGGAGTCTGGCTCGGCGATTTACCTTGGCGGCCATTGTTGTGGTTTTCGTTGTTGCTGGTGCGACTGATTGAAATGCTCGTGGATGACTGGTGACCGGGACCGTGCTGCCGGGGTATTTATACGCGCCGCGTAGGTACGTTTGGAAACACTATCCGCCCGATACGAGCCCTTCCAGACGGCCGCCGTGCCGGAGACCGAGACTTTCCATAAAGCACGAACCGGTTATTGTTATGCATTGTATACTGGAACAGTATTGTTTCCCACGCCGCAAGTGTCGGCGTAAAGGGGAAAGAAATCCCAAGGACGCGAGCCGCGTGCGGCCGTGTTCGGGTTAATTCGGCGTTAACGTTTTTTTTGTTTTTTTTTCTCGCTTTTTTTGCTGTTACCGACTTAGGATGTTTTGTTTTTTTTAAATTTCCAAACGATTTTCGGTCACTCGGCGGCCACAACCGCAGTGTAACAACAATATTACTTTTCTTAATCACTTAATTTTGTTTGTTTGTTTGTTTTTTTTTTTTTTATGCACGCTCGCCCGGTTTTTATGGTTAAACTACGCGTACACGTTCAAAATCTGATTTTCTGAATTTCTAAACGTAGCGAGAGACGATTGTTTCGAATGCTAAGATTTTCCATTACCCATTTATGGTAATTTGATTTACTAGGTTTTAGGTATTGTTCAACAATTCAGATGGTCAATCGTAAGTGGTTAGTGCGGGAGATATGATATGTGACGAAATTTAGTTTATATAGACAGCGATATATATCACCTAGAGGTGAATCGTTAGAAATGTCGATAAATAGTAAATAAAAACCATTGGCCAAAAATCTCAATTCTGCGTGAAAAAATCGAAACATATTTTACGTAGTCCGAAAAAAGAAAAGAAAAGTATATCTTTGTAAAACTAATATCGTCTTTATTGTACTATCAGAATCTAATGTTTACATTCGAATAATAAATGTGAATTTAGAATTTATCCCGTTTCGATCGTATACAATTACGAATTGCTAACTATAAATACTTAATTTGTATTAATTTTATATTTCTAAAAATACATTTTTTTAGTTTTATTATTTTGAAACGGTAAAAAGAAATACTGTCTACGATAGGTGGGCCAATGCAAGTTGGGAAGGTAGGATATAGAGGAGAATTCGGTTATACATGTTTTAAAAGGCCATTATATTTACGATTTGAAAATCATACATTTCGTACATTTTTCCCGTTTTTCCTGCGTTTTTTCTCGGTTTTTCCCATTTATTATGAAAACCTTTGGGAAAATCAAAATATGACTTTCTTAAAGTTTTACCCAAGTATTATTTCCTTTCAGAAAAACTGGATCAAAACGATTGTTCGAAAGTTTGAGTTTGTCTGAGATCGGTGTTTGCTTTTTTATTATTGAAAGGTTTCGTCGTATTTCGAACGGTTTGCATATTATTATCATCATTATACAAACCCGTAAAGATCTATAAATCATGAGCATAGACAATATTACGTTACTTGGAATTTAAATAGCGGCGGCGTTTTAATAGAAATCTCTGTTCAAATGAGAACAACGAAATTTAAACAGGAGAATATTTTCGATGGCACACGATTGATTTTCTTTTTCTAAAATATTGTCAGACCGAGTCGAAGTGATATAATTTTTTTAAGAGCATCGACATTATTTGTGTAGAATAAGACAGTGTCGCGAGTGTTAATTACTCACGTGTTTCGTGTATTTCATTGTTGACTCTATATAGAACAGGTATAATTAAAAGTAGGCGATATTATCTGATTTGTGGTTCACTGTATTATACTACGTATTGCTTTCTCCGTCATACGAGTTCGATGTTATTATTATTCTTATTTTTTTTTTTTTTTATTATTATTATCTTGTACGCGATATATTCAACACAGGTACATAATATTATCCGTCGACTTTATCTATATAGCATAGTTACCTACATAGGTACCCGGCGTAAAATAATTTAACGGATATCGGCAATGTTACCGTCGTTATATCATGCTGTACGGGTAATGCGAAGAATGCCGGGGGAAAAAAACCCAACATCCTCCGTGTCGTGTAGCATCGGACGGGTTTTTAGAGGGCCGAATCGGTCGATCGATATTGCTGGGGAAAAAAAATCGATCTTCAAAGGTGACGCACTGCGGCGCGTAGTCGAGACTGTATTCATCGGGACAATACGCGTGTTTTCTCTATTTTCTTTTGATTCCCACTCGTTGAGTAATGAGAGTGTCGAAAAAAAGTCATTTCGCAGTAAATGCTCTTCGTTATAGAATGTACAATAAGTGCCACCGCCCTAAACCCGACCGTAGAGACGCAATCGGTGTCGTCGCGTTGCGCGAGACGGACAGAAAACGAAACAATGCGTTGGCGACGAGGTCCCTTAAGTACGGTATTTACGATGCAACGAACGTTTGACATCGAAATGATACGAAATCGGCGTGGAAAAAAAAATAAGAAAACTATAACTCGGAATACTCGAAATAAACGGGGGGGGGGGGGAAATCGATAATAAATTACTGTGCCAATATACAATATTACATTAATAACGGCCGTTCACAGACGAGTTATTATATTATTATTATTATTAAATAAGAGGCGTGAGTACGAAACGACTTGTTTCAATGCCCCGAGGTCTTATAAAAATGTACTATATTTTATGTAATTGTATCATATATAATAATAATAATATGTATACGATATGTGACCTTTTATCAAACCTGAATTATCTATAAATGGTGATTTTTTTTTTTTTTTTTTTTTTTTTAAGGAATTTTACATTTACAACCGCCGCACAACGAAACGAGATACTGATCGATACGTTAATCCCACGCGTTTATAACGCGCACATAGGTATGCCTATAACCAATGTTAACTGGATCGACTGCAAAATATTAATTTATTATTCTGTATAGGTATAGCTCAGCGAAATATCGTATAGATACGTATAATACTATACAGAGCGATTGGGGATTCTCCTATCGCGTTACACTCCGTAACCATGCATTATTACGGTTAGGTTTATCGTCCTGCCTCACTCCTCCGCGGTGGTCCAAATTTTAAACTGTTATCGTTCGGACCCCGTACGTGTTTCCCTTTTTCTTCTCAATAAATCTGTTTAGGATTCGAGCACGTTTTATTTTAGCGATTTTTCGGCGGTTTATACCGATGCATTGCTTCATTTAAATGGTTTATCGAGCAGCGAAATCCGAATTCATCATGAAAGTGTTAAAATAATGCTTCAACAACGATGAAAAAAAAAAAAAAAAAATCAGAAAGCAAAATATACTCTAAATCCTCCGAGAAATCGGTGTTAAAAAAAAAAATAATAATACTATTAATAAATAAAATCGCTCTGTACGTATCGAGTGTTCGAATCGAAATCATTTATTATTTATCCGCGCAGGTCATTTCACGCGTGTGCACGATAGTGTAAAGTCCACAATTACTTTTATCGTTTCGTTGCATTACCGTTCATTACTGTTTGTCACAGCACGCTAAAATTGTTGTACGAATTAAAATATAGGTAGAGGGGTACGTATTCACATTTAATGACAGTTGGTAATAACGTGAAAAAATTAGAGCCGTGTTTAACGAAGTGCAAAAAGGGCAATAATTGGCCGCGGCGGTAAATTGTTAAACACATTTAGTGGCGGAAAACTCGGGAGATAACATTTTTGTAGTTTTCTTAATGAAGATTACACCCCTGTACAATCTGAATAACTAAATTGACGTAGAAACCAATGGGACGGGGGGGGGGGGGGGGAGAAATGAAAAACAAGGCGAAAATTCAAGTGTGAGTCTCTCCAAATAGAAACCAGTAAATTTGATTATCCGGTTACGAGCTGTTGTCGGACTCGTAATTTGTACACTCGAGTTTCCGAAATTTCTGATTTCTGCGTGCTTAAACGTATGTATTTTTATTTCGTCTAAACTCCAATATATATCAACTACTTTAAATTGTTGTCAGAGATTTATTTTTTTTTTTTTTTTTAGAAAAATTGTCGGGAATTTAGGGAGAATAAACGTTTTGAGTAAAAAACGATCGCGTCTTTTTAACCGAGCGTAGAAGTTTTGGAGCATTTTTACACAATATTCTTTATCAGTAGCACAATCAGAATTTGTCGAAATAGGGTGTCACATATCTAAATCAAAAAAAAATATTTTTTTAAACACATTTTAACAAATTTATATTATTTAAATACGGAGGAAGAGATACCACATTCCCCCTTGGTTGTTGAGCCACTGTTCTCTACGATGTGGTGGTCTTCTAACTGATGGTTTTCTCCTTTTGGCTTTTCTTCTAATATGACTTATCTTTTTACCATTGAGTCTTGTTTCTCTTCCACATATACCATGGTCGGGCAATTCCAGCTTCTTTCGTTTTATCTCGCTCACGACATCCAATCAGTTAAACCAACTCATCTAATATAATCATTCAGAAATAGGCGTGTTTTAGCGATGCAGTTCTCAGTAAACTGTTTATTGTTGTTACTTGGCAGCGATATTCCCAACAATTTTTTCTGAATAGTGTCTTACCAACGGATAACCCGTAAACAAATACATTAAACGCATTTAAATGTTTGCGGATTCCGGCAGACCGGGTTGCCGAAATGTACATTCGGTTATAAAACAATAAAATTGCAATACGTAATACACCATCGCCAAAACAGTCCTCAAACGTATCTTAACTGATGGTCGACTGGATTGTTTCGAATGACAGTATTTTATCATAGACATTTATACGGCGCATATCATTCGGTCGATTTTAGATCGAAAGCCGGTTTCGGTGCGTTTGAAAATAACTGCTCCCGGGTCGCTAAAAACTGCACCGCCATAACGCGCCTATCCGGTCGTTTTCTCATAGGTTTGCTCGTGGTAAAGACACGTATTCATCGTATAAATTCTAAATAATACGGACACGAACGGTAACGGCGGTTATAAAACTGTTATCGCGGCCGAGAAGTCATTTTGCGCGGTGCTCCGTATGTTCTTTAATTAATTCGTGACGCCATTAGCGGTGGTATCACCGACGGTACCATGAAATATTAAGGGAACATCCTTTTTTTTTTTTTCAGTGTTATC